CTCAGGCAATCCACTCACCTCAGCCTCCCAAGGCGTGGGATTACAGGCTGAGCCACCAAGCCCGGCCAAGGCAGCTTTGTTGATAGAGAGCTGAAGGTCAAGAGTTCCTGACAAAAGGTCTGGTTTCCATGTTCTTGTGAAAACAATAAAAATATTTAAACGTTACTAAGTATTTAGTATTTGCTAAGCACTGTGCTAGGTGCTCTACATGAATTATCTGATTAAATCCTCACATGAACCCTGTGAGACTAGATCAGTGTTTCTCAACCCTGGCAGCATATTAGAATCACCTCCAGAGCTTCGAAAAAAGGTATCAAAGTCCAGGCTCCACTTCCAGGGACTCTGACACAGTTGGTCTGGGGTGAGACACTAGGTGTTGGTATTTTTTAGATGCTCTCCTGGTGAATCTGCCGTATATCTAGGGCTGAGAACCACCAGATGAAGCTGTCTGCTGTCTGCTGGGAATAGGGTGATGGCTTAAGGTGACTGGTAAAGGATTGCTAAGCAGTACTTAGGGCCTAGCTAAGGTTACAGACCAGGTATTAGTGGCTCCAGTTCCCAAGGCTGGGTGGCCCTCCAGTAGGGCCCAGCAGTTCCGGGTTTAAGCACAAGGAAAGCAGACCATTAGACTGATCCAGAGTTGCAGTTTGGCAGGTGGATGCAGGCAGACAACCAAAAGGAAAAGGGGTCGGGGCTCTTCAATCCAATGATCAAGCCCTTGGATCTAATTTCCAGTTGACAGGAAATACAGGGGATAGGATAAACATGAAGCCCAGACGAAGGTGGGGAGAGCAGGGTGGACCTGAGGGCCTGGGGTCTGTGAGAAGAACAGAGGAACAGGATTCGGGAGGCAGGAAGGAGGGGGAAGGAGGAAAGCTGTGGTCAGCAGGTGGGTCTCAGAATCTGCACAGCTCACAGTGACATAAGGGCAGGGTGTAGGCACAGGGGTGGAGTCTGAAGCACAATGGCAGGATATGAAAGGAGCTAAACCTTAAAAAGGCTAGAGGGCCCTGGGGTCCCTTCTCTGCTGGGGCCTTCAAAAAACACTAGAAGCCGGGCTCGGTGGCTCAGCTTGTAATCCCGTGCTTTGGGAGGCTGAGGTGAGTGGATTGCCTGAGCCCGCGCGTTCAAAACCCGCCTGGGCAGCGAGACCTCATCTCTACAATAAATCAAAAAATTAGCCAGGCGTGGTAGCGCATGCCTGTAGTTCCAGCTACTTGGAAGGCAGAGGTGGAAGGATCGTCGGAGCCCAGCAGGTCGAGGCTGCGGTGGCCGGGAGCGGCCACTGCACTCCAGTCTGGGCAACAGAGTGAGACTCCAACTCAAATAAAAAACAAAAAACAACAACAAAAAAAACCCCACTAGAAACAGCCAGCTGTCCTTCAACAGGTGAATGGTTACACATACAATGGTACTTCTACATCATGGAATAGTGTTAGAGTACCCCTTTCCCAAATGCTTGGGACCAGAAGTGTTTCAAATTCTAGAATATTTGCATTATACTTACTAGTTGAGCATCCCTAATCCAAAATCCTAAATCTGAAATGCTCCAATGAGCATTTCTTTTGAGTATCATGTTGGTGCTTGAAAAGTTTCGGATTTTGGAGTATATTGCATTTTGGACTTCCAGATTAGGGATACTACTCAGGAATACAGAGGAGCAAACTATTGATATATACACCTTGAATAAAATCTCCAGAGAATTATGTTGAATGAAAAAAAATTCCAAAAGGTTACATACTATACAATTCCATTCATATAGCATTCTTGACATTATGAAATTATACAGTAAGTTGCTGTCATGGGTTACAAATGGGGCAGAGGTAGGGGCATGAGAGAGGAGAGTGTAGTTATAAAAGGGCAACAGGAGGGATCCTTGGGGCGATAGATATCTTGACCATGTCAATGTCAATATCCTGGTTGTGCTATCATACTATAGGTTTGTAAGATGTTACTGCTGGGGGAACAGGGTAACATGTATTATGTCTTACAATTGCATGTAAATCTGTAATTGCCTCAAAAGAAAAAGCTTTATAAAAAATACAACCCTAATCTACTTTCCTACCTAATAATATGCCACTCCTTTCCATATACCTCATGTATAGCCACACTGAACTCATTTTCTTCCAGAGAGGCTAAGATTCCTCTATAAAGCCACATACAATCTCTTAGGTTAGAAGAGTAAAAGCTGTATACAGCCAAAATTACCCTAGAGCACCCTCATAAAGATGTCATATTGGAGACCAGCATGGCAGCTCTCATGAAGCCCCACACAGCCACACACACCCCATTCCCAGGTTGTAACAACGAGCACAATTTCAGATGAACACCAGATGAAGCAGCCGGATTTTATTTAGGAGAAGTGTTTTATGAACACTTATCTTTGGGTACCAGAATCCCACTTCATGTGATTGGATGCTCACACGAGAATGGAGGGCAACTACAGAAAAGTGCATGTTTCCCATCCACTCTCTCTGGGGTATAGGCTCACTGAATAGAATGGTGAGCAGAGGCACATTATCACTCTTTATTTTGGCTGCATGTGTATGGTTGAATTTATATGATGCAGCTCCACTGCTAGACTTAACATACGGCAATGAAATGTATCTCTTTACCTGACAGCTCCCAAGTAGACTATAATAACAGGGACCATCTCTTCTTGTTGTTGTTGTTTGTTAAATCCCTAGAGCCTAATATACTGCTTGGCACGGGGTAGATATCACTGAATTCTTACTGAATGGATGAATCAAAGTATAGGCTCCCATGCCCTGACTAAAACACAGACATCACCCTTGTTCTGTAGCACTAAGTAGTACAGTTCTGTTTGCAGATTAAATTTTCTCCCAGCAGACATTCCTCTGGGACTAAGTACTACAAGTAATTATTATTATTATTATTATTATTATTTGCGTTGGAGTTTCACTCTGTCACCCAGGCTGGAGTGCAGTGGCATGCTCACGGCCATTGCAGTCTCAACCTACTGGGCTCAGGTGATCCTTCTGCCTCAGCCTCTCAAGTAGCTGGAACTATAGGCACATGCCACCACGACCAGATAATTTTTTGATTTATTATAGAGATGAGGTCTCACCAAGTTGCCCAGGCTGGTCTCGAACCTATGGGCTCAAGCAATTGTCTCCCAAAGTGCTGGTATTATAGGCGTGAGCCACCATGCCTGGCCAGAAATTATGTTTCATAAGCAAGATTGTTCTATATTTTTAAATTTTGGGTTATCTTGATTTTGCATAGTGTTAGGCTAGCCTATTAGAATGCGTTAAGCATACTTTTATGTGTGTCAACATATATGTTATTTATATTTAACATGGAAAAGAACTAACTCACCTTTACTGCATTGCCACCACCTTTAGGACCCTGAGTCTTCTTGTCAGCACTGTCGTTCCTAGCGGCTGCTCCCCCTTTACAGAAGAGAATACAGGTGCTCATTTAATCTTCACCTTGATATTTACAGAAAGGACCAACACACAATGGGAGATGATACTTCCGTCAGAGCACTAAGCTTCAAAAGGGAACTAAGCCAGACACTTTACTATATCAAGTTAAATGATCTGTGACTCACCTCCCTTCAAACAGGAAATTAGTGCCCTCCATAAACCCGTCACAGGAAATGGATACACATGAGAGTGCTACTGGGTGAATGAGATCCCCAGAAGCCTGCTCCAGATTCTCTGGACCCAATAGCCGGGCTCTGTGGCTCAGCCTGTAATCCCGCGCCTTTGGGAGGCTGAGGTGAGTGGATTGCCTGAGCCCGCGGGTTTGAGACCCACCTGGGCAACTTGGCAAGACCTCATCTCTACAATAAATCAAAATGAGCCGGGTGTGGTAGCGTGCGTCTGTAGTTCCAGCGATTTGGAAGGCTGAGGCGGAAGGATCACTGGAGCCCAGCAGGTCGAGGCTGCTGTGGCCGGGAACGGCCACTGCACTCCAGTCTGGGTGACAGAGTGAGACTCCAACTCAAAAAAAAAAAAAAAAAAAAAAAAATCCTGCCCACTAAAAGCAAACTCCTAAGCTCTTAGAAGGCTTTTAATATGCGCTGCATCTATATATTCAAGTATTAATAATTCCAATAAGTAAAATCTCCAAGAATTTATTTTAGATAAAGATCGATAAGACTTCTTGGCTGGACGTGGTGGTACAAGTCTGTAATCCCAGCACTTTGGAAGGCTAAGGTGGGAGGATTGCCTGAACCAGGGGTTCAAGACCAGCCTGGGCAACTTAGCGAGACCTTGGCTCTACAATAAATAAAAAAAGTATCCAGTCATGGTGGCACATGCCTGTAGTTCCAACTACTTGGAAGGATAAAGCAGAAGAATTGCCCGAGTCCAGCAGGTCAAGGCTGCGATGGCCATGAGCATGCCACTGCACTCCAGTCTGGGCAACAGAGTGAAACTCCGACTCAAAAAAAAAGAGTAGACACTCCAGGTTGCGGCAAACCACACACTATGTGCAGAAAATTGTATGGATGAAGCCAAATCTGAGGTGGAAGTACTGTTAGACGAGCCTGCCTGGGGGAGGTGTCTGAAGGTTAGGGTATTAAGGAACTTGGAATTTATCCCAGAAGTAACAGGAAACCATCAAAAAGTTTTAAGCAGGAGACTCCATCTTACTTGTCTTAGTATTTCCAACGCCTAGCACAATGCCTGACACATAACAGGTGTTCAGTAAATGTTCGATTAAACTGAAAATTCCAAATACTGACCGCCAAAAGCCTGAGAAAATGTTACTGCCAAAGGACTTTTATTAAACCAAACTCTGGCTGGGTGCGGTGGTGCATGCCTATAATCCCAGCACTTTGAGAGGCAAAGACAGAAGGATTACTTGAGCCTAGGAGTTCAAGATCAGCCTAGGCAACACAAGACATTGTCTCTACAAAAAAATTGGCTAGGCATGGTGGCACATGCCTGTAGTCCCAGCTACTCGAGAGACTGAGGCAGAAGGATCGCCTGAGCCCAGGAGGCCAAGGCTGTGGTGAGCCATGATCATGCCACTGCATTCCAGCCTGGGCAAGAGTGAGAGGAAGAATGGAGGGAGGGAGGGAGGAAACCTCATAACTGGGTTTGCTGTATATCCACTCTTGAATGATAATGCCTTTCAGTTATCCCATCCTCTTCCCTCTTGGCTGCTGTCATCTCTGCCTGCCCCCTTACTTTGATTTACTGAGGATTCTGGCATCAGCTTTGGACTTCCTCTCCACCCTCACTGCTACCATTATCTTGGGTGACCTCACCATCTATGCTGAAGAATCTCATCTAACAACCTGATCTCACAGTTCTGGATCTCCCTTCCAAATGTCCATGCTCTCTATTCCAAGCCACCTGCCCTAGGGGTACATGATGAAATTGTGCCACTCAGAACTATTAGTAGTTTATTCTCTGGCTACAACTTCCTGTCCTTCTAGCTCTCTCATGCCTCATTCCTGTAACACTCTTTGATTTCACACTCTCCCCCACCCCCCTATTCCTCTGCCCTGCAGTCTTCCCTAGACTACCAGACTTCTCCTTCCCTTCCCAGTCTGGACCTCATGCTGGATCATCTGAACTGCGTTCCCTCTGGTACCCCTAATTACTTTGTGTTGCCATCTTCCTATTATAATTGTCTGACAAAACCTCAACCATGGCTCAAGGCTACACCTAGCTCTTTTCAATCCTATATTGTACCAGTTGTATGGTACAAGGTAAATCATGACTGTACAGATTGTGTTTTCTACAAATTCATGGCCTTCAACCTCAGTCAGGCTCCTAGCCCTGAGGGCAAGCCTTTTATTTGTATTTCCTTCCCTCTCTCACTACCCTATTCCAAATCTCTACTTCTCTCCTCAAGACCAGTACTGAGTGACTGAGTCTCTGCCCCTGGTTTTAAAAAATACTTCAGCTACTTGGAAGGCTGAGGCAGAAGAATCACCTGAGCTCAGCAGGTTGAGGCTGCAGGCCGTGAGCGTGCCACTGCACTCCAGCCTGGGCAACAAGAGTGAGACTCAAAAACAAAAAACAAACACACAAAAAACCCCCTTGCCAGGCCAGGCGCTGTGGCTCACGCCTATAATCCCAGCACTTTGGGAGGCTGAGGTGAGAGGACTGCCTGAACCCACGGGTTCGAGGCCAGCCTGGGCAACTTGGCGAGACCGCATCTCTACAATAAGTCAAAAAATTAGCCGGGCATGGTGGCGTGTGCCTCCTACTTGGAAGGCTGAGGCGAAAGGATCACCTGAGCCCAGGAGGTCGAGGCTATGGTGGCTGTGAGTATGCCACTGCACCCCAGCCTGGGTGACAGAGTGAGGCTCCGACTCAAAAAACAAAACAAAACAAACAAAAAAAACCCTTGCCTTCTACTTTATTAAGAAATTGAGGTCATTAAGTATGATCTCCTTAATCCTGCTCCTTCCGTATCCCTGGTCCCAATTTTTACAACCACATCTATTTTGTCTCCTTCTCTATGACCTCAGCATAAAGTGTCCCTTTTCCTATTCAAAGGTCCTGGACTACCTTGGTCCTGGACTCCATTTTCTCCTAAATCTCACTTCTCTGTACCCTTACCTCTCTTACGCTACTGAATCCTTCACCCCAGTCTCACTCCCACGTTTTCCCCACTCTGAAGATACAAACAAAATAAAACTCTCTTAATCTTCTTTCTTCCTTTATCTACCATCCCATTTCCATGCTTTTCTTTTTTTGAGTTGGAGTGTCACTCTCACCCAGACTGGAGTGCAGTGGCTGCTTCCGGCCACCGCAGCCTCGACCTGCTGGGCTCCAGAGATCCTTCCGCCTCAGCCTTC